GAACGAAATTTTCCACAACAGAAAATTTTGTTGAGCTTTCTAAAAAACTTGTGAAGATACTTTCTTCGCAAAAGTCCTTTTTTAGCCTCATGCCTAATGACAAAAACATTGGCTTAAAATTAAAATTAAATGGCTTACATAATTTTTTTAGTAAATGCTATTTCGAAACGTATGTTAGTCCAATGCTTTGCAAAATACTGCAAAACCATCCACAAAGCAAGTATCATATGAACAATGCCAAGAATGTAAAAGGCTGGATAATACCATACGGGTATATCAGGCTTCAAAATGGGCTTAAAGTAGAGTAGACTAGTACCATTACAATCACCATCGACAGCACAGGTTTCATTGTCATAACTGTGAATGAATTATTAAGTTTTATTATAATAAACTTAGGCTTACTCTGATGGAGCTGTGACAGAAAATAGTACAATTACATTTATAAGTATTGTTAACCAGAATAAGATGAAATGCCTTGTCGTTCTAAAGTTAAAAATAATAATAGTATTGGTTATATAGAGATAAACTCATGATGCCCACAAAAGCCAGTAAGTTTTCCAGGATTTTTTTACTTTTTTCTATTAAATTCAAAACAATTGATAGTAACAGACACCATTATTATTATAAGTATTTATTTTATACATAAAATTATTAGATCTAAATTTTAAAATATTTGCATAATAACATGTATGACACAATGTAATAAATTTTCTACTCATTTATAGATTATGTATATTAATATCATACTTTCCACTCCTGAGCAGATCTAATAGCTTCTGTCCATTTGAGAAGATCAGAGAGTTTTTCCTGAGGTGTATTTCTTTTGATGCGTAGCATTATAGCATTTTTCTCACTCTCACCAAGATGTTTCTGTAACATAAATCAGTTATGGATCGGTACAGTTCAAAAATGGCATAAACATACATGGGGTTCATATAGAAAATAGGTACGGGTCAGAATTTTTTTACCACTCTTAGCTTTGTAGACAACTTCAATACTTCTTGACCAATCTTGACAATGTTGCCACATTCCTTTAGCATCATCTACACTTTCATCAAATAATTTATCAAAGCTTGTAGGATCAGTTTTTTTAGAGTGTTTTTCATATCCCACTACATGTATAGAGGTAAGATATACAACTAAACAATATCAATGGAAATATTAACCTAATTCGTCAACACTGATTCCTTTATAATCAGAAATTCTTCGAAGTACATGATAAGCACGAAACACACTGTTTCGTAGTTGTTCACGAGTAGAAATATTAAAAGGCCCTAAATATGCTTGCCAAAATTCAAACATAGCCTTTAAAAATGTAGCTATGTTCCAGTGATTTATTATCCATTGAGCTAGCTGTGGAGAATTTTCATCTGTTTCTTCTAGCATAACTTCAAGCAATTCAATGCAAGAAGATTTGAGTCTGTAACGATCCTAAAAATATCTGTTGTGGCAATTTGAATTATTGCTGACTAACTGTAGCACCAGCACTGGAAAAGTCCTTCTGCATTATTGTCTCAATAGACTGTGTGACTTGTCCTTTGAAAGCAATCACTTGATTACTATAATTACCAGCACACATTTCTATCAATGCTTTCACTGCATCCTGGACAACAGATACATTGCTTTCATTAAAATTTTCAGTGATTCCATGGAGTAAAAAAGCAACTTGACTAACAATATTAGATCCCTGTATTAGGGAAAAACAATACAATAATATAGCAGTTTACTGTGGTTTAAATGGCAACACTGTCGCCACATATCAATTAAAATTATTTTGACAAAGTATTGTAGTCAACTAAAACTGAGTCATACCGTATGCCATATATTTTGCGGTTATAATAATTTGCAATTTGGCTGAATTTTTGTATTTGCAAATAAAAATTTCGCGATGTAATTACCCACCTACTATAATCAGCATGCTATTTTGCAGATTTTAATTTGCAAATTTTTCCAAATGCAAAAATTGTGAAATTTAATCCCTGCAAAATAATTATATGGAATATACGGTATTTAGTGACTTTTAATTAATTAACCAAAGCTACATGGAAGAAAAATGGAGAAACCTTGGTTGCTTTCATTATAGGCAAACAGATCTATACATAACCATCAAATTTTAGCATTAATTTTCATGGTATTATTCAATAATGTTAGACATACACTAAACGTTTTGTCGTCTCGAAAGATGTCTTGCATATCTTTTTGTTGCCCATCACATAGCCATGAAAGGAAATTTAAGGCGGCCATTGTGATACGATGATCAATAAATTCAGCTTTTACATGTTGTTCAACAGCAGAAGTTATTCCACTTGCTTCTTTATCACCTACAAATAAATTTCATTATTATTAAATTAGCCATTTTAATATCATACATTCATCATTCCCTTTTATAGCTGCTCTTTGCCTTCTATTAAATACACGAGTTTTTCTTCTTTTCTGCATAATGTTTAATATTAATAAATCATAGCTTAATTATTTACCATTAAATTAATGGGCAATGATGAGTCATGATCATCCTCTGCTGGAATCAATGCTGCTATTTGCTAAAATTGAAATGAAGTATAACTATTTATCATTAAAAAATTCTCCAAACTTACAGCCATGGCTTGGCCCATTCTAAAAAATGACACAAGCATTATAATATTGCTGAAAGCATTAGCCTACTTTGCTTTATTGAGAGTAGATTGAGTTCTTCTTAATATTTGATGGACACGTACAAAAAGATTTTTGTCTTGCTGATTGACATGCAAAGTTATTCTTTTTTGAGCTTCTTCATTTCCAGGATAGAGTAAAACATTAAGACAAGCCAAAACCTGAAATGCTATGTCATCTTTTGGATGATGAAGTAAATCAATCAACTATCAGAGACATTATTATTGACTATTTGAATGTTTTTCCTTTTATTCTTACTGTTTCAACTATTTCATTATTAAGAAGAATTGTTTGTATTGGTTGAATAACTTGTTCATATTGCCTATAAATATTAAAATCAAATTACTTTAATAAAATAATTACTGTCGAAATTCATCAGGATTCAGGGTGCTCCTGGGTACTCTGGTAATTCTTTTATAAATCACACCGCATAAAAGTTTTAGAGTTATTGATGTAACTCCTTCAAGATTAATTCTTTCTAAAATTGGAAGACCTTGCTTTCTTTGTTTTTGAATGAGATTCCTATTAAATTAAGCATCATATTAATAATTAAAAGTAATTAGTATACTTAACCTTAGTATTAGAATAAGTTTCTTTACTTTCAATGAATCAGATTTCATTCTGTAACATAATGATATAGCATTAAATAAATAAAATTTGTTTCATACCTAATGTCTTCATCACTATCAGAAAATAAATTGATCAGCTTAATAAAACTGGGATCATTAGGAATAAATAAGCTTTCTTGTACTTCACCTACAGTGTTATGTAAAGTAGTAATAATAATAGTAATAATAATAATAATTATTATTATTATAAGTAACATGCCGTACTAGATGATTCATTGTAGGCTTTTGAGTATTTCACTAAATATGTCTGCAATTCTTGATTCAGAGTAACCTCAGGAATGCTAACATAATGTGGAGGTGAAACTAATTTTAAGCTATCAATGACAACCTTTTAGATTTCTTAATACATTGGAATAAAAACAGTAGTTGTTACTTGATTAAGGGAGCATGGTTCATGAAGAAGCATTTCACAAAACTTCATGATATTAGTTACACAGTGTTTTAGAATTTCAATATGACTTGGAGCACAAATTACTTGATTACGGTGAAGATCCTGACAAAAGAATAAAACACAATAAGTACTATCTTCTAAAACTAGATCTACCAGCAATTTTTCTCCAACTTCTTTGATAATATTAACATGTTTGATGATGTTAACTTCCTTTGATGTGAGTATATCAGTACACAGCTCATTTCCTCCAGATAAATGAAGTGACATTTCAAAGCAAAACTCTGACAGCATTGGAAGTACACCTTTAACAACAAATAATAAGCTACTACTGAGATTAACTGAAATATCAGCCGAGTATTTTATCCATTGCTTAATACTCAAGTTTGAATCAGTCAAATTCTTCATCTTTATTAGAAGGACTTTCTTTTTCTCAGCTGTTAAAGCATGAAACTCCTTCAATATCTTGTTATCAATATGTGAAATCTGTTGCTCTATGAGCAACAAAAAATTTCTAAAACAATAGTTGTTGATCATTATTTTTTAAAAATCTAAAGTATGTATCTACCTGCTAGATGCTAGCTGAGAGCATGCTAAAGCTGAGTCTCTCTCAGTATTTAAAAATGTCCATGTTAAAAGTCTCACAAAGGGCAACTTGTGATGGCTCACAATCTTTTCATTTGCAAGAATTCTATTAATGTTATAATAAATTTTATATTTGATTAGTACTTACAAAAGGAGCTCATCTATGTTATAAAAATGTTGTGAAACAGGTTCTGCAGACTGGCATTCTCCAACAGTACATGATGCTAATAAGTCAGTTATATTTAATAACAGTTGAAGGTGAGGGTCTTCATCATCAGCCTATATAGTTTCCAAAATTATTACCTTATAGCCGGCTTAATTTCGAGGGTACAACTTTCGCTGTTTTCGCGGATTTTCCGTATTCGCGAAAGTTAATTCCGTGAAATATCCGTATTGCCCATAAACACGTGTGCTTTAAAACAAGAACCGCGAAAATTAATTCGCGAAAAAAAGACTTGTGGCCTGATTCGCGAAAAAAAGACTTGTGGCCTGATTCGCGAAAGTTTATTGCCTCGAAACTTTGTGGCTATACGGTACATTAGAATACACAGCATACATTTTCTAAAAGTTGAAATCTAATAGCTTGATTTTCTTGACCTAAAATGTGTCCTAAATTATCCTGCCAGTGATGAAGAAAGAGTTGTGATATGTACTCTTGCAATGGAGTGGCTGGCTCTGTATTCTAGATACAAAATAGTTCAATTCACAAAAAACAAAAATAGAATTAACCTGTATAATGGTTTGCAATGTGACGGTTAATTCATAGTGCTCAGGATTACTGCTCCTAATGGACATAAAAAATAACTTCCTGATATCATTTTCAGATAGTCTTTTACAAAGTGAAGGATTATTAGAAAACACCTATTGAATACACATCATGGTAGTAAACACAACAATATTTATAATTCTAACTTCACTGAGCAAACATGTCATAGATGCAACAGCAGTTTTGATTTCAATAAAATCATTGAAAGACTCAAAAAGTTTATTTTGTGCCTATAATTAATATTAACAATCATTAGGAAAGTTCAGTTGGCATATACTCTAAGATTCTTTCTGGTAATCCTTTGTAAAACTGTGAAACAACTACTAAGAACATCTTCATGACACTGAGATTGATCTAAATTTCCATATTCAAGCACAAATTCCATTAAGACGTTAAAAAGTCCTAAATTTAATTTAATTTAAATTAATTTTAGTCTAGTTGCTGTGCATTTTTACTTACCACAACTGTATGCTACTCCTTGATTACTAGAATCAGGTTCTGACTCATCATTAGAAGAAACAAAACAATTTGAGAGTTCATCCAACTTATTTAACAATTTTTGCTTATCCTGGATCTGGTTTCTCAACATTTGTTTGAGAAGCTGATCAGAATCTGTCATAGACGATAATTCTTTCATTTCTTTATAAATTGCTGGATTTGTATAAGGAGTAGTAAAATAAGCATCCTTAGCTTTAAAGAGAAGTATATTTTCAACTTCAAAAATCTCAAAAAGAATATTTGCACTCAGCAAGCAAACATCACTGTCATCATAACTGATAAGGTCCAGCAGAATAGAGGACAAATTTTGAGAGTTTGTAGAATCAATATCAAATACCAAGTAAACTTCACTTCTAAAATTAAATCTTAACCTGGCAAGTGACTCAGCACACAATCTGATGAATTAAAATACAATTACTCTTATCTATAAAAATGGCACATACTTTTCAGTAGGATTGTCTCCACCATCAAAAAGTACCTTCATGTTTATTGGTGGCTCAATAAATTCTGACTCTTCCTTAGACAGTATTGCAATTTCTTGCAATTCAACTTGATCATCAGAAAGTTTTCTGACGCTTGAGCTTACAATACTATGTGATACATTTTCTTCAACAGTGTCTGGACTAATTTCTTCTTCATTTGAACAAAGCTTTTCTCTTATGTGTTTGAAGTCATACAAAAGAGCCTACAAAAATTAAGCAAAATTAATGTTTGCACACAAGGAACTATAGATCTACCTTAATGGATGAACGAAAATGCTGCTGGAGAAGTAAGTTTAGTGACTGCAGTGCCCTAATAGTAATTACAGCGATAATTTTAATTAACCGACATGCATGACAACATACAAGAACTTAATTTTGAAAATAATTTTGTTACCAGGAGTGTCACTACTACATCTTTCATTATTTTCCAACACTTTCCCTGTCAAAATTTTGATCATCATAATAACAGGTTGTAGACTCACCCAAAAAATTTACATCACTTTTACCATCAATAATACTTATTAAAATATTAATAATTTTTAACACTTCATCATCAGTATTGTAAACTCCATAGTCAACAAGAAATACCAAAATACCAAGTACTTGTGCTATAATAGAATTTCTTCCTTTGTAGTCATCTCCAGTATACAATAAATGCATCTTTAGAAAAATAATGATAATTAAGCAAAATCTATTATCCTACCTCATTTGTCGACAAAAATTCATGCAAAGACTTTTTCATAGAAGATATTAGATTTTTCTGTTCATCATCAATAATGAATTCAATTTTTTCATTTGGGTTTACTAATAATTCATGGTAACTCTAAAGAAAGAGAATATGTAATATTACAATCCTATTATACTGACTTACATAAGTGAATGATCTTCCTTTAATATTGATGC